GGGAACACGTGGGCGGCTGCAGCTCTCAGAACTCCCCCCTGCAACCTGCTCGGTGCAGGCTTAGCAGACAGTGCAGAAAAGAGAAGTCAGGCTGCGGTCCTGCAGCCTGGAGAGTCTACCCCAAACCACCTAAGCCGGCTGGGCCAGGCGGCACCGGAGTCACTTGTGAACAGAGCGCGGCAAGAGCCGCGGGGCTGGCTGTCCCCGCCCGGCCGCAAGGAGACCTTTCGGGCGAGCTGCGTCCGTCCCATCCGCCCCTGCGCCCTGGGAGGTGGCCAACAGAAGACGAGCAGGCTTCGCAGGGCTCCTCAGGGCCCCCAGTGGGGCCGCCGTCTGATGGCGCCTCCGCGTGGCCTAGTCCTGTGGGAATAAGACTCACGTTTTCAGTCCACAGGACGGTGTGGCTTCCCGGCGTTTGCTGTGACAAGTGGCCATAAAATCAGTGGCTTCGAAAGATACAAATTTCTTGCTTATGCTCCTGCAGGTGAGAAGCCCAGCCGGGGCCTCCCGGGACGGTGGTGGGTCCTGCGCCTCCGGGAGACCCCGGGGAGACCCCCGTCTGCCGGAGCCCCGCCCTCGGCTTTGCCCCGGCGGCGCTCTCCCTCACCTTCCCCTTCTCTGGCCTGCCCGCCTCTCCCTGGCAAGGACCCGTGGGATGGTGCCTGGGCCCCCACAATCCAGGCTCGTCCCCTCATCCCAGGATCCTTCATTTGGTCACATCTGCTGAGTCCCTCTGGTCGTGTGAGGAAACACATTCAGGGGGTCTGGGCGTGAGGACATGGGCATCTGGGGGTCGTCATTCCGTTCGGCACATGAACTCACTGAGATGGGCCAGATGTGCAGAGGGCTCCACATGGCACGGAGAAGCCAGGGGCTGGGCACGTGCCCCCCCCCCCCCGTGGCCCCCCTGCCTGCGCCTGGGGTGCCCAGCCAGGGCCTGGCCTGCCGCGGGCAACACACCCTTGCTGAGAGAACGAACACGTCCAGTGAGAAGTGCTGGAAATACTCACGGATTGCAGGACGGCCTGGTGGAGACAGGGGCCCAGGGGAAAGTGCCTTCCTGGGTGACTGCTGCCCTGACCACAGGCCAGGCACCCAGCTGAGAGCTTCACCCGTTATTTTATTTAAATCTCACCAAGTATCTACTTGAGGCAGTAACTACTAAGTCCATTATACAGATGACATTAACTGAGGCTCAAAGAGGCCATTAGCGCAAAGCTGGATGTCCAGCAAACCGAAGTGGTGAAGCTTCCACGTGAATTCGAAGCGTGTGTTCTCAGCCCCTCGTCTGTATTTCCTGAAAGCTAGAAGAAGTTTCAGGATGCTGACGCCAGGACAGTGGCTTCGAATAATCTGGTCACCAAGTGTGGCAAAATGGACGCTCGAGCTTTTCCTGGGGAGGAAACGCAGACACACACACCAAGCAGCACACAGCTTGTGTACACTTTCTGGAAACGCAGAGCCCCTGGTGGTCAGCGCGGCCCCGAAGGATCCACGAACCCCAGGCGGTGGGACCCTGTCTAAGGAAGTTCTGTCCTCTGAGGAGGTTAGTAGTGGAGTCGGTCGGGAGCCTGTGACTATGTGGAGACAAGCGCAGATTTCCCACGTGTGCAACCTGGACGTGCACACGCCGCACTCGCCTAGATTAGCGCTAAACAGGCAGATACGGTAAGAAGTCGGGGACGTCTGGGGACTGAGCAGGGATCCCGTTTGTTCACACCAAAAATAGAAATCAAGCAACCAATCTTCCCTGGAGACGGAGAACATGAAGACCTGGTGTCCCGGCCTCAGCGCCCTCCACCGGGGGCCGTGTGCGCACGGGGCGTCCGGCGCTGTCCACCGGGAGCCGACTGAGGAGCCCCACCCGCCCACTGCCCCGCCTGGTGAGAACCACTGAACTGGACACCGGACAGGAATCCCACACACTTGGCACCACAGGAAAAAAAAAAGCAATTATTTTTTTGATGAGCAGAAAGACAAAAAATAACTTCTCCATTACTTACCGACCTAGGGCAAGGTGCGCAGGGCTCTCTCTCTGCGTGCATGCCATGCACGAGCACCCCTGCACCTCAGAACCTTCCAGAATCCACCTGTCAGTGGCTGGGGACACACTTCACTGGCTGCTTCTCAGAGTCCTGCACTCTCACTTCCCTGGGTCTCCCCAGCTCTGCACTCAGACACTGTAGCGAGCAGACCCAACAGCGCGGCACCCTCGGGGATCCGGCCCTAGGCCCTCTAGGGCTTACGCTGTGTCCATTTCATAGGCGGGAAAGTGTCCCACTTTCCTCAGGATCCGGCACACCCTGACCAGACTGAACCTAGAAAACACGGACATACACAGCAGCTTTGGGACAGGATTTAGGAAATCAAATACCAGGACTCCATTTCTATACAGCTTGTCAGAAACAACCTTGAAAGTGGGGGTGCCTGGGGGGCTCAGTGGGTTAAGTGCCCAAATCGGTTCAGGTCATCATCTCACAGCTCATGGGTTCGAGCCCCATATCAGGCTCTGTGCTGACAGCTCAGAGCCTGGAGCTGCTTCAGATTCTGTGTCTTCCTCTCTCTCTGCCCCTCCCCCGCTCACACTCTCTCTCTCTCTCTCAAAAACAAACATTAAAAAAAAAAATACCCCAGGAAGTGAGGCGAGTCCCCTATTCGTGACCTAGCAAACGCTGCCGGAGTCCAGGCCATGAGCCGTCCGTCCGGAGGGCCAGGCAGTAGGCCCGGGTTCACCGCACAGGAACGGAAGCCTCCTCCCCAGCCCTGCCCCTGCGCGTCCGCTGGCCGGGGCGTCAGAGGGCAGCGGCAGCCCTCGCCGTGGCCCTGAGGACATTTCCTCTCCCTCCGCTGGAACAAGGCCCTCTCGCAGGGCCCGGGTCTTTCGTGTGTCTGCAGAGGAAACAGTCATGTCAGAAGCCTGGCGTCCCGAAGGCTCAAACTGCAGAGAAGACTGTGCTCCTGCCAAAGAGGCAGACGGGGGGGGGGGGGGGGGGGGGGGGGCGCAGGGAGAGTCCAAATGGATGAGGTCAGAGCTGGGTCCCTGCAGGGGGCTCTGGGCCATCTGCTCTGCGTGTGAGCTCGGCCCCGCTGCCCAGGACAAGGGGGCCAGAGTGGGGGCTGTGGGGGCAGAGACAGGAGATGGGGCGTCCCCGACCCGGGTGGGAGACAGGAGGCGGGGGCGTCCCTGTCTCTTACCCTAAGTTTCCCAGCTCACCGTGGTCCGCTGAGCTCCTGAGCTGGGCCGGGCCAGGGCTGGGAGCCGAGTCCTCGTCAGGTAGGGTCTAGGCCTGGGGGACAGAGACCCGAGGGCTCCCCACCGAGCCGTTGGCTGAATGCGGAGGAGTCTGGGACAGCACCGCTGGCAGCACTTACACTTGCAAACGTACTTGCCACCCCCCCCCAGAATATGCAGCCCCCACCCTGCCTTAATTGCTTATAAGAACCGGATGCCCTCACTTCCCCCACCCCCCCAGGACGGGCAGGTGCAGACCCATGCTGCAGGCTCACTGGTTAAAGCTCACCCCGCAGGACGGTCTGCACTTCCGGGTTGGCTCCCAGTCCCGTCAGCGAACTGACATCACCCACCTGACACTCGGGTGCACTGGCCGCGGTGGAGGTCCTCGCTCTCCGCGCCCTGTACCACCCACTCCGGCCGTCCCTCCCCCTCGGCCAGCACCTCCGCTGGCTCGGTGGGGGGAGCCGGCCCCCACCCTCACAGCAGGGAGCATGAGGGGCCTCCTGGGTGAGCCCTGCACCCCTGTGGCCCGGGTGGGACGGCCGTGCAGGGGTGAGTCCCGCGTGCTGGGTGCTGGCCCACAGGGACCCAAAGAGGCGTCCGGTGTCCAGGGAGCTTCCCCTTGGAAACGGGCCTGTACCGCGCAGCACTTGAGGCCCCCAAGATGGGAAGCGGCTCCCTGGGGGGCCAGGAGCGACGGGGGCTACACTTTACCCCCTGGGGCGGGAAGTCCAGGATGGAGGCCGGGCCGAGCGGTGTGTGGTGAGGACTCCCGAGTTCACGGATGGTGTCTTCTCACAGCGTCCCCACTTCCTCAGCGGCGGACGGGCTGCGAGCTCCGGGGTCCCGTTCACACGTGCGTTAGTCCCATCACGGGGCTGGACCCTGGCGACCTCGTCATCGCCCTCCTCCTGACATCGCCACCCGCCGATAAGCTCTGGGGGCGCGTCCGTCCACAGCACCGGCCCCAGCGTGTGCGCTGACCCTGGTGCCCCCAGGCTGTGCCGGGGCCCAGGGGGTGTGGCGGCCCGAGGGAACCCGGCCTGCCCGACACAGGGTGGTGGGCCCAGTTAGGGAAGCCAGCGCCGTGCCGGTCTCCTTGCAAACCACACCCCGCACACCAGCGTGGCCCTAACTCTTGGGCCCCAGGAGGAGCTGAGGGGGTGCAGGCTGCAGGCGAATCGAGACAACTCTGGCCCCCGGGAGGCCGTTGAGCGCACAGAGCCCCACACGGATCGGGACCGCTGCCGGGGAGCACCTGACGCCGCGATGTACTCGCTGAATGCAGACTTCCGCTTGTGTGGTCTTGTTCTCTCCTTCCGCAGCTACGCCGGCAGAAAACTCGGTGGTTTTGGGTGTCTCGAGACAGTGGTGAAGACCAAACACCTCTGATATCAAGGTCGCAGTCTTTCCGTTTCACCGGCCCGTGAGACCAAGAAACCTCACTGCTTCCTCAGCACCGACGTTACATGCTCGGCAGCTGCAGATCAGTGTTCTTGTTCCACACGAAATTCATTCAACCCGTGACGTGAGTCAACACGTAAGCCGGCAAGTGCGGGAGTCTCTTGGCCGTGTCTTAGCGCCCACCTCCAATCACAGCACTGTTTCTGCTCACACCAGGACCGTCTGTGGAATTCGTGCTAATCTCCCAGGCCGGCGGGTGGCGATCCTGAACTTGAAATGGCCCCTCGGACGCCCCCCTCCACATGCCAGGACCCTAACTGCCCCTCTGTGTTTTATGAGGAAAAAAGGCAATTCGAATACAGAATTTTTAAATAAAGAGGCTTTATTTATGACTTCAGGTAGCAGCTAACAATTTAAGAAAGCTTGGGGAGAGATTAAGTTCGTGTGGGGGTGTATACGCACCTTGAAAAATATTTGGCTAAGTCAAAAAATTAGCATTTTTTAGTCGTCTGTAAAGTGCTGAGAAGTTTATCTCCGGCAGTGTCTGCATTAATGCCTTTAAACCCCTCGCTAAGCACAACACCGACACGTAAAGCCACACTGCGCGGAGCGGGGCTCACCGCCCGCTCTCCTCGACCGCGCGGTGGCTGTGACCCGTGTGCTTGCAGGAGGCAGCTCGAGGTGACGGGTGTGCTGACCGCAATGTCTCCGGCCTGGGCTCACCCCCCGCCGGGACGCACCCACACCCGCTAGCACCATGAGTCACTTCAGAAGGCGTATTGAAGACAGACTCCGTGGTCCAGGTCAATCGGCGGAGGAAACAGCCGGAAAGGGCCCAGGCCAAGCACTTCCTACAACAGGGAAACTTGCGTTTCTGACGGGGGTACGGATGCTCTAGGATGGACGGGAAGGATCTTTTGGTGTTGATGCGCGAGTCTAAATGTTGATAAGGTATTGAGTGTTTTGGTTCAAAGCAAAACATTACTTGTGAAATGTTACGGATAATATACTGACTAAAATATTAACTGTTAATTTTTAATAGAAAAAAGGCAATACAAAAATACTACTTTGTTAAAATATACAATACACGCATCATGCTGCTTTGGAGAGCCCAGTCCACTTCAGAGAGCAACTCCCGCCACCCGGACCGGGGTCCGCCGCTGGCCTCTCTTGTTACCAACTCTGTACTGCAACACGAAGATGTACAATATAAATAAAAGGAGAGACTCTGGACCAAGTAGGATTACTCTAAGAATTGTTAATAAATGTGTCCACTAATGAATAAGCGACATTTCCCCGTGAGCTCCTGGTCTGCGGACTTGCTAAGCAGCGGGGCCCAAGAGTGGGCGCCAAGCGGGGTGTCTGCGTGGACTGTGGCACCCAGCACCCCAGACGCCCGGCTGCCCCAGCCCCGTGCGCCCCTCTGCCTCCTTGCCAGCATCTGTGCTGAGAACAGAGGCAACGAGCTGGCGGGGAAACACCACCGTGATGCTATTGCACATTTCTTCCCCGAAGACTTAATTTACCCTCAACCAGTGTAGACACGGCCACAGCCCTCAGGCTGCCCGGCTTGGCTGCAAGGACGCGGCCAGCTGGGGGCAGCGGGCTCACGCGTTCAGCAGGGGGACCTGCCAGACCATGACGGAGGAGGCCAGCTCCTCGGGCCGCTGCTGCCGGGCCCTCCGGCTCACACGCCGGTGGCCCTGGCCCCCGCACACCACCAGCACGGAGCTGGCCTTGGCCCTCCTGACCCGCCGCCCCCGGCCCGGCGACACGCTGGGCAGCCGCAGGAGGTCGTAGACGACGCTCTCCTCTGGCCTGGGCTCCAGGGAGCCTGAGCCCTGCGACGGGGCCAGGGACCCAGACGACGAGGAGAAATCGCTTCTGTTAGTCACGGAGCCCAGCGAACTCCCCAGCCAGACGGCGTCTGGGCTTCCGCGACTCAGGCCGGGGCCCGGCACCTCGCTGGGGTCCGCCTCCGGGGGGTCCGTGCCGGGTGGCGGGCTGTCCGTGGGTTTGTCCTTGTCTGTCCTGAGGGCGGCGGTGGCCATGACCAGGAACTTGACGGGCCCGTTGTGCGCGTGGTAGGAGACCATGCCTCTTCCTGGCGGGCAGGGGGAGGGGTCACTCAGCAATCACCACGTGCAACAGTGCGTCTGCCCCCCGCGCCCCCGCCTGCCCCTCCTCCCCGTCCAAACCACATCGGCAGCGTAACATCTGCGATCCTGGCTTTCCTCACGGGGCTGATGTTTTCTTGGCTTCCTTCAAAGCTCTCTACAAGCACCGTTTCACTGGCTACCTTATACACTGAAACGGCCGGAAAGCCATTTTCTCAAATATTTTTCTCCCAAATTTTTAAGTTGCTTCCTATTCTGGGCTTCTAGAAGTTGAGCGGTGTACTAAATATCTGTTTTGCACCTTGTTTTTGTTCATAGACTTGGCTGCTTCCCAAGGCAGATTTCTGAGTTGAAAAGTCCAGAATGCAGACACGTGAGCCCTTTCGGGCTCGTGATCCAAAATGCCAAATTGCTTCCTGAAAAGGCTGTACCCATTTGAATTCCTACCAACGTTGTGCAAAAAAGCACACCTAACATGTTCAGATGCTGGGCCTCCCTCTTTGCAACATGAAATACAAGCAGCACCCACTCCCACTGAGCAAAGCTGTGTGTAAACGACGGAAACTAAGAGGTGGCGGGAAAGGTGAAGGACCGCGTGTTTTGGGGGAACGCTCCCCGGGGCAGCTATCAGGAGGCAGAAGAGCAAGCAGAAGCTGGGTCCCAGGAGCAGGCCATCTGCCGGCCGCGCCAGCAGAGAAGGAAACCCGGACCCCAGGTCAGTCACACTGGGTAAGCAGCTCCCGGGACAGAGGCGCGAGGCGGCGGGCGGGCTCGGCCAGCTTCGGGGACGGTCCGTCTGTGCGCAGGGGTCCACTCACCGGTCACTTTGGGGATCCCCTGCAGACGAGGCACGGGCAGGGCCACGACGAAGCCCAGGCTGGTGCCGACCATGAGCAGGCCGTGGCAGACGAGCAGGCTGCTCACCGACAGACGCTGGGGCCCTGCAGGGGGGCGGGGAGGCGGGTCAGGTCTCTGCAGCGGGGTGGAGGAGGGGGCGGGCGCTTGGGCCCCCCCCAGAGTTCTCCCCTCCCAGTCAACCCCTCCCCCACCCCAGCTCTCCAGCTACACCGTGGTCAGTCCCCCCCCCCGCTGAAGCACTCCCCTCCCCTGGGACACTCCCCCCCCAGAGTACTCCCTCCCCAGAGCACTCCCCCCTCCCCTAGGGCACCCCCCCAGCACTGCCCCACTGGAGCACTCCCCCTCCCAGCACACTTTCCCCAGAATACGACCCCCCAGAGCACTGCCCCCCAGCACAGCCCCCTCCCCCCAGCACTCCCCCCCCAAGCCCTCCCCACCCAGTCAACCCCTCCCCCAAGGGGCTCTCCAGCTACACCCTATGCTCAGTCCCCCACCGCCCAGGGAAGAGGAAGGCTGAGCTGAGCTTCCCTTAAGGCCCCCTGCACACCACCCCCCTCCCCCCGCGGGTGAGAGGGAGCTAACACGCGTTCCGTGTTCTACCATATACACCCAGCACGACTTCCCTACAAGCGTTTGTGAGCGCAGCTTGTCAGTGACAGCGGGTGACACTGCAGGCCTGCTGTCTGGACAGGGAAGGACACAGGAAACGGTCTGGGAAATGTCATATGAAAGGTGGCGGTGGCGCCAAGAAGGAGGCGCTGGTGCAGGCTGGGCTGTGGCCGCCCCAGAGGAGGCCCAGAGGCGCACGGGGCCGCCTGGCCGGTCTCCCGCGGGCCTCTGCTTTGAAGGGTGGCAGGCGTCTGGGATGCCTACCCCGCGGGCAGGCGGCACCACCGCCGAGGGAGACGCACGGCCACCCCCCAGCCTCCCTGCAGCTGCAGCTCTAAACCCGGCGCAGACCAGCCGGCTTTCCTCCGCTCGTGAGGCCAAGGTGGCACCTACACCACGGGGCCCCGCATCGCTGCCCGTCCACTGCCCACAGCCCAGCGGCCCAGCACCAAGGCGAAAGCTACACTGACAGACAACTTTCAGGAACGTTTTCGCGACGGCCAAAATCACACAAGAAGGGGCGCCTGGGGGCTTGGTCAGGGAAGCCTCAGGCTCTTGATCTTGGCTCAGGTCATGACCTCAGGGTTTGAGAGTTCAAGCCCCATCGGGCTCTGGGCTGACAGCGCGGAGCCTGCTTAGGATTCTCTCTCCTTTTTGGCCCCTCCCCCACTCACGGACACTCGCTCCCTTCCTCTCTCAAAATAAACAAACTTAAAAACAAAACAAAATCTACAAATAACAAAGACTTGGTTTTATTTCTCAATATAGACTTACATCCTCTTTTAAAAGCTGATAGCATTTATGTTCCCAGGACTTCTGAACGTCTGACAGAGTGACATGGTTTGGAGATGGATGGGGCTCTGTGTTAATTTTGTGTAAAGGTGTAAAATACCTATAAAACACACAGCACAGGGGCGCCTGGGGGGCTCAGACAGCTGAGCATCCGACTTCGGCTCAGGTCATGATCTCACAGTTCGTGGGTTCGAGCCCCATGTTGGGCTCTGTGCTGACGGCTGAGCCTGGAACTGCTTCAGATTCTGTGTCTCCCTCTCTCTCTCTGCCCCTCCCCTGCTCGTGCTCTGTGTCTCAAATAAATCAAGATTAGAAAATATATATATATGACACACAGCACAGGTGTGCAGGCACCGTCAGAAGCCAGGAGAGCAGCTGATGCGGTTGGGGGATGAGACGCTGGCGCAGTTCGTAACCGCCATCAGCGAGCAACACTTCACACGCTGTGAGGCGTGTCCCGCGCTCACGATAAACACACCAACAGACGGAGGGAGCAGCGACGGCACCAAGGCGCTAAGTGTGGGATGGAGCGCTTCACCCCTCCCTGCACCTCCACCCAGGCCACCCCTCAGCAGCAGGCAGAGCCCAGCTTCTGGTTCACCCGGAGGGGCTGCGGGTCCCCCTGGATTAGATGCGGGTCCCCTGGGGAGGAGCTGCGGGTCCCCCTGGATTAGATGTGGGTCCCCGGGGAGGAGCTGCGGGTCCCCCTGGATTAGATGTGGGTCCCCGGGGAGGAGCT